AAGCCAGGTGTAACATTTTTATATAAATGTTCATGTTTGGACTTTTTGTCATGCCCTGTCATCAATGGACCACTTTTAGCTTCACACTGTTTTCAGTTTCTTCTCCTATTAGACACAAACCCTCTATAATTGGAACTCTGTGTCCTACCACACATCCTTTCATATTCAACTTTCTTTAGTTTTTGTTTTTAAAAGAACATTGTTGTCTTTGAGAAAAATTACTAGTAAACTAAATTGACACTGGACTAGATTTATTTAGATAGACCATTGTGGGCCACGTGGCTCCAAAGCTATCTTTAGGTAAAAGAGACAAAAGTAACACGGTCTTATAATCCCAGTCGGGTTTTGCTGATGTCATGATGGGCAGACTCCTTCTTGTCTGTCAAGTCTGAAATTGAAGATGGTATCACTGTGGGTTTGAGGGGTGCTGTCATCAGTTTTTAACTAGAGAAGTTCTGGGGCACTAGGGAAGAACTTAAAGTTTCAGATGATGATTAATGAAGTTGTGGTTTGTACCCCAGACACCGAGGAGCAGAAATCTTCTGAACTCAAGTCCTTGCCTTTTTTTTTTTTTTTTTTTCTGCTATGTAGTAATGCGTTTGTAGAGCAGATTATTCTTTTCACCGGGACATTATAGAATCCTTCACTCTATGTATAGGTTTCAGACTTACCAAGTTTGCAAGGTCACCACTGAACCTTGACCTCCCACTCACTTTATATTGATCCACAGCTTCTTCCATGAAGAGTGGATGGATCTGTGCTGCTGCCTTCCTCCAGTGTTCTGCTCCTCTTACTTCCTGTTTGTCAACTGCAGACAGACTTCAGAATTCAGTGTACTTCATTTCATAAGTCCACTCTATCATTGATATCATTTGAGCTCAAAACACATAAACATATGTTTGTCATATACTATAAACTTTATATACTATAAAAAACGAAACAAAAAAATAACATGAGACTTTTAGACTTTTCCGTGACTCATTATTATTATTCCCACACCCTATTTCCACTTAACTGTATTTCACAACGATACCAAAGAAGCCCTGACTCCAGAACATTAATCTTTCCAAACTGTCATGATATTAATGTATTTCCTGTCTTCTTTTTCACCTCTTTTGCCTCTTCAAAGTTACATCCCTTTAAACCGACCGGTCAGCAACAAAAACAACCACCCTGCATGTTAAAGTAATTGAGGTGATGGCAGGCAACTTAAGTAATTCATATTACATGATCCTGCTGCCTAGCCATGCACGCTGTTGTTGTGTAACTACTATTTCTTCGGGTCAAAGGAGCGCAGACATCATCCAGCAGTTTTTTTTTTAGACAAACTGATTATATTTGTGTTTTTCGCTGCAACTTTGCCTGTCAGTGTAAAATAGATTATTGGGTAAAATTAAAATGTAAGTTTTTCCTGCTCTAAACCTAACTCTTCATGCTCTTCATCTTCTTTCAGCGTCTGACCTTATTTTTTATTCAAATTAATCCCAAGATATTTTTAGGGGGGCATTAACACAAACTGATTGACACA